TTTAGTGACTGTATACAGTGTGAGTAATGAGTAGATCTTTGAGTTGTAAGGTTAATTACTAAGCCCTTCAAAAAAACGAATTTACAAATTTTGGTTCTCCAATCCTGATGCTGGACAGTCTCAGTCCAGATATTTCCCTTAATCGCCAGGTCTTTAAAGAGAACACTGAGCAATTGATCAGTTAAATGTGCCATGTTTCAGTGAAAGGAACTTGAGTCTTTTAAGCACCAAAAAATATTCTGATTTTTGTGCCAAATCTTGAAGTTACTTAATTATACGCCACTCGATTCATTGATCTCAATTAAATTCTAATTTTTAGATCTAGACTATATAAAGGCTTCCTATAAAACCTGCTATGTTGAGAGCCCCTAGTTTAACTCATTTCTCGGTCGATTGATCTAGGGATAGATCCAGGTGTATCTTGAAATAAGCCAGGATACTGGTTTTAACAGTCACTGGAGAGTCTGGATAAAATTGGTGATTAAGTTGTACACGGTTTTTATTGATCACCTTTTTAGTAGTGGAGCTGTATAGTGAGTCGTTATTTTTTTTTCCCCATTTACATAGTTTTACATTACATGGTTTGAAATGCATTTATGATGTGGTGTGTGCAACTTATGTGAATACCCATGTAGGACCTGAATTCATCCTTCAGGCTTCTGCATAACAAATCTTAGTTTTCAAAGTAGCTTGTCAGTTGTCAGAACTACTGAAACAGTTCCATTTCAGTTTGCGTTTAAGTACATATTTTATCTGTACATATGTAAACAGAAGCCTGAAAAAGTGGTGATGAGATGTATACACAGGATGATAACTTAGGCAAGCCCTACTCCCTACTTGGATAATGATAGATATCAATAGATAAGCAGAACACCTTAAAGCTGTTCAGTCTAATAGATGTTTTTTTTTTAAATGACCATAACAGGACTTAAAACAAGAACGCTTCAAAAGTATATCTTGCTTGGTTTATTGTGGGCAAAGAGTAAATGCTCATTAGTTTCAGTTTAGGAAGTATCTGCTTTTTAAGCTATTAGAAACAAAAGGCTTTGCCTTTAATGCAGAAGGGTTTTTGGAGCCGTATGAGCAGCAGTTGCTGGGGTGTGTGACCTTAGGTGTCGACAAGTCTGGGTTCCGCAGGCGGTGGCTTGAAGTCAGCCGAGAGTAGCTCGGGTTAAATGGTCTTGAATTCAATGAGGTGCTGATTTTTATGTAGCAGTGACTGCTTGGCTTACTCAGCCCCTTTTTCATTGTGACTTGAAAATAAATCTCTTGACCACTGACTACGAAATGTGTGATGTTTCGTAGCAAAGATTTTAACCCCCCCAATTATTTCCTGTAGCTTTCATGTCCAAAATTGTTCCATGTCTCGCAATGTTATGCAGTACATATTTAAAATGTTGTGCCACTTTGATCTTTAATGAAAACATGGTTATGCCAACAGGCACATGCTGTTTTAGTTGACAAGACTGTCTTCATGTTAAAACCCGTCTTTGTTTCTTTTAAGCATCTTTTAGGTCTGAGAAGGGTTTAGAAGATGCAGAGAAAGCAGGTTGGTTTATTTTGTTTTCAGTTTACAATTTTAGTATTGTAACTAGTTTGGTCAGCAAAAACAATTTAGTTTTGGTATAGAAATTCAAATAACTTTTTTTTGTCTAACATTAATGTTAACGGTAAATTGGCACACTGGTTTCTCTTTCCTGTGGTAAAAAAATTGTGAATTGTTAATGAAGTCTTATAAAGGCAAAAGTGAATTTTCTTGGTATAAGCTGTGCTTACTCATAAGTTGATTTACTAATTATAAGTCTGGACACCAAGGTGTAAGGAAAAAGTTTGTATTGACTGTACTAACCTGGCATTGGTACAGACTAGTTTCTTTCACAAGTTGCATATCACATGATCATCATTTAAATTCTGTGCATGTAATTTAGCTGTGTGGGTTTTTAACTTTACCTTTTTTCCCACTTTGGATTTTTTCCTCCTTTGTATTTTTTTCCTCATCTTCTAAGCACCCAAAGTGAATTATGTCCCCCCCCCACCTCCTGAAGATGAGGATTCCATTTTTTCTCATTATGAAACTGGGATCAACTTTGCTAAATATGATGAAATCCTAGTGGAAGTGTCAGGTGCTAATCCTCCAACAGCTGTTCTTGTAAGTATTTTTTTCTCCAGCAACAAGTGCCAGTAAACTGGTCTTCCACTCAGTGTTCCAGTGCCAATATTTCCAGCTAGTTTTTCAGTGATTAAGTGCTAATTAGCTGCTTGTGACCATGTACAGGAATGGAAGTGATAAGAAATGATAAACGAGTAATTTTTATATCAGTTAGTTCTGCCCCCAAATTTCTGGTGTGAAGTCTTCTCCAGTGCGTTTTTCAATCTGAACTACGACATCCCCTGCCTGCTGATGTTTTGATGGTTAGAATTTTCATTTTCTGAAGTCCTTTCTATGTGTCTTCTGTGTTCTTGTGAAACCTTAGCATCCCAGAAATGTGTATGTTGACTGTTTATCTAAAAAAAACTTTGTAATGAAAAAGGAATATATAAATGGCCTATTGCATCTATATTAATAATATATATAAAATACAATTTCACAAAAACTATGTTCAGCAATCAAGGGAGCTTTAAGCAGCATTATCAAAGCTTCTTTTGAAAGATATATTTTTATGTAGGGATGTCATCTAAGTAGCTGATCATTTAGGAAAATTGGATGATTGCAAAGCAAGGGGAGTCTGGGGACAAGAGTTTCTGAGTAGTTTGAACTTTAACTGTAGGATTTAGCCTAGATTCAGGTTTACCTAAAACTGTTGCCCAGATGTGTACAACCTTTATCCGTGTTGAAACGGATTACTAGGATTTCAGTCTGTATGCAACAAGTGTATTGTCAGTCACGTGTCAACATAGAAGCTTGAAATAGGTCATGTTAATTTACCCTTCTTTTCCACTACATTAACAAGTAGATTAATTTATTGTAGGGAGAAAGTCAACAAAGCCCTAGTTTTGTTTTTTGAAGACTGGTCTTTCAAAATTGTGTATCAGAAGAAGGGAGCAGCTGTCCCTCTTGCACAAATGGAAAAGGTTTAGCAAACATTTTATTGATAATTCATTGAGAGCCAGTCCTGTAATTGGTTTAATTAGCTTTTTTTTTGTTCTGCTTTGGTCTTTGACAAATCAGTCTCCATCCACCTAAACTGCATAGCTCTCCCAGTGAATGTTGACTTTATCAACAAAGGAAAACTGTTGGTTTAAATGATGAATGTTTAATTTTCATCATCACCAGCATCGTTTTCATCACTTGTCTAAATGAACATTCTATGACCTGTGCCATAGTTTGCAATATCTCCATTGCTTCTATGAAGCTACACAAATAAGCACAAAAAAGGACTTAGAACTTGATCTGAGATACAGAAGAAGGGAGAAATAAGGCTAGATATTGAGATGATTGCAGTTATGGGATACATCTGGTTACTAGAAACATCAGCATGCTGATTGTTCTTAGTTCCCAGTTAAATACTTGGCTATATTAAAAACAGTTTTTGAAGTCTGCTGTCATGGTGCTGTAGAAACATCTAAAATAGAGACATTATGAAATGTAGCAGCATTCTAAATGGGTTTTGTAATTCTTAGGTGAAGCATTTAATTTAGTGATTAAACTGGCCTTGGAATGTGAACCTTTATGGTTGTAATGCTACCTTGGAGGATATGCCACGTTCTTTAGATAATATTTGATTCTCATGTGACCGATTTTTACAAGCATCATAAAACAACTTTTCTACCTGGGACACAAAATGTCCATATTGCATGAATTTAATCAAAACATAGGTTTGGTGTGACATTCATGCTATTCCATCTTGAACTGCTTTTGCTTTTGCTTTTGCTTTTCCCCTTTTCAAAGACATTTGACGAGGCTGGTCTGTGTGACACGTTAAGCAGGAATGTCAGTAGGTCGGGCTATGTGAAGCCTACTCCAGTTCAGAAGTATGGCATTCCCATCATTATGTCAGGACGGGACTTGATGGCATGTGCACAGACAGGATCTGGAAAAACGGTGAGCGTGGCTAATGCAGTGTAGCAAATAAGAAGGCCTATGTTTTTCATTTGGAGATATCTGATATTATATCCATGCATAATATCTCCCCAGCAGCCTAAAATGTAAGAAGGGTTGCAAAGGAGAAAGTTGTGGAATCAAAAGAGCATAGATGGATTAGCTGTAGATGAATTATGATGTACAGTCAGAAACATTTGCATCCAAAACGGTCTATCCAAAGTGCTGTAACAACATTGGGGAGTTTAGGGCACAGATTTAAGATGGGCAGATTTCACCTCGGGCAATGCTGTGGTGCACTTGGCTATTCTTGAAGGATAGATGATGAAGACAGGTTGTCCTTTTGAGTTCATTTGACTATTATAATAATGATGTCCAAAAGATGAAATTAGTGTCAGCTTTGTGCAGGAGCAAAGAGGCATAACTTTTGAAATTTGGGATTCCTGATCTGCTCAAGGGGTCATACAGAGCCGATGAAAATTGTTCATCGAGAGAGATTAGAAGGATATGCTTTTGTCTGGCTTTTGAGTGATTCGTAGGGTTAGAATTATAAATGACATTCTGCACAGAAATCGGTCAAAATAAACCATCTGTTTTCATTGCAGGCTGCTTTCCTTTTGCCAATATTGCAAAAGATGATGGCTGATGGTGTTGCTGCCAGCAGGTTTAGTGAGGTTCAGGAGCCTGAAGCCATAATTGTTGCGCCAACAAGAGAGCTTATCAACCAGATTTATTTGGAAGCTAGGAAGTTTGCTTATGGGTAAGTAAACAACTGGGCTTCATAATGCAGATTTAATCAATGCAGGATGTTTTTCTAGGGAAAAACCTGCAACCATTGAAACTCCTAACAATTAACAGTAAATAAACAGTTACACATGGGGAAGAGGTTTTTCACATTTTGAATTCTTAAGTCTAGGTAGAGAATGGTGATATGAATGAGCACTCATTTGGGGGAGTTAATTTGATCACTGTGTGTGTATATATAATAAGGTGACATTGTCTATAAGATTCTTGGATCTCATATAGCATGGCTGAAGTGTTCAGCAATGGGTATCCAGTCATCAGCCATCTAAAAAGGTTGGGAAATCAGGAATTTAGTTTGTCACGGTGTTAACAGGTGAATTGGATATATGAGAAAACGGGTTAATATGACAAGCGTATCCTGGTAACCCTTTGAAAAGAAAAGACCACTTGCTTTTTTTCCTCTGTATTCATAACACAGGAGAGAGGTGAAATCCCTTACTGCTCCCCAAGCAAGATCGAAAGCTTAATGTTGGGGGGGAAAACACTTGCTCTTCCTTTCTTGTT